TCCTCAAACTTAGAATTTGTAAACAGAAAACAACTCTGTAACCACTGTGAGTGTGACGAGTTGACTTTAAACTAATTCATCAGCCAAAGTGCCGTCACTGGAAGTCACACTTTGAGGTCCGCAGGGAAACTGACATTTCTAAGTTGAACGAACTTAAAATGTTTTACAGTGTGTTCTCCTCTCTATTCCTCTTTTACTACTTCTCCACGTTGCCCCCCTTCTCCACCTCTCCTGCATTATTTCACCTCCGCCTCTATAATTGCGCCGTATCTCGGGGCGATGGCAGCGTCGGGCTGTTGTTTCCAGCTTCTACTCTCTAATTATCTCGCCTGAAGACCTGATGAAAAGTCAAACAGTCGGCTAAATGACAAGCAGACACTCGCACAAACAAACATACACACAAACACGCGTGCATTTTCATTTCAACACGTCAAATTCACAAAGTATGTCATGTTTACCATCCACATTTACAATGATGCAAAGAGTGTGATTACCGGGAACAAGATTCCTGAAGTGTAACTAGAAAGCTTAAGATTAAAAGTTTTATGGACAGACAGCCATCACTGGGTCACTTTGCCTCATTTTAAAGATGGAGTCTGTTTTGACACTTAGCATACTTAGTTAGGTTGAATATGTCAGACTCCACCTGTAGGCATGACTGTGCACAAGCTGTAACATGCACAAGACAAGTTGCAATAGCGTGGATCGGTCCGAGCCACTCTGGGCTTCTAGCCGTGTACGAATGCTGGATTGTTTCAGTGAAGACAGCAAGCTAGCCGTGAGGAGATACTGTGTTAGACTGTGTTGGATTAAAATCCTAAAATTCATTTTTAAAGTGAAAAAATAAAACATGGTCACCATATAGCAAGACTACATCAGGTATAATCCTGCTGTGAGGATGTGGTTAGCTTAGCTTAGCATGAAAAACAGAAAGCAGGAGGAAGCAGTTTGCTAGTTTAAAATACACCTAATACTCTAAATTTCATGAGTTCCATGTCCTGTGTGTAAACCAATGCAGTGAGCGGACGGCACAAGGTTCTGTTCAGTCCACAATGGATGTCAGTTAGTTTGCTAAACAGTCATATTGCCCTCGAACACAGAAAAACACACACATGCACTACAGCATCTGGTCAGAGATTCTGCTGTAGCACCATTTATGTGATTCTGTCGGAGGTGTGCCAAGCACAGTGGGCGGACATGGCACAGGACACCTGGAGAAATAAGGACTTCCCACCATGTTTGACCTGTGTCGATAAAAGCATGCACAAATTAAAGCACCTCCAAAGTATGGCTACTACTAGTACTTCAATAACAACTGTTCTAATGATGACTTATAAAGGTGTGGGTAAGCATCCATCCATCCATTATCTATAGACCGCTTAATCCTCACTAGGGTCACGAGGGGTTGGAGTCTCTCCCAGCTGACTCAGGATGAAGGCAGAGGACACAAGCACACTCACATTCACACCTACAGATAATTTAGAATCCCTAATTAACCTCAACATGTTTTTGGACTGTAGGAGGAAGCCGGAGAACCCGGAGAGAACCCATGGGGAGAACATGCAAACTCCACACAGAAAGATCTCGGGTGTCCCCACCGGGATGCAAAACGGTGACCTTCTAGCTGTGAGGCGACACTGCTAACCACTGAGTCACTGTGCAGCCCTGGGTAATCTCCTCATAGCAAACATTTGCTTTTAAGCACCGCAGATGCTTCAGACATGAATTTGCCGTAAAGCTCACTGATGAGAACTTTCTATCGTGAAATGCTGAGCCAAATGTCAATTTGCAGGTTTTGGAGGCGTTACAAATTGGAGCTATTTCTTGGTGAACAACAACCAGTGACAGTATGAAGGACTTTTTGCCAGAAGCCCAAGTTGGATGAATTTGCAGCATATCTAGTTTTTTATGCGGAACAGACTTGGACCTACAGTGAGGTTTGTCTTTTTATGAGCTCTAAAAAAGTGTTTTAGTTTCCTGACCCTATCCACGCCTTATGGATGCTTCATTTGATAGTCTTTCTGTAAAATGCATCTTGTCATAGCGCCCATGTGCAGATGTTGTATAAAGCCACTAAACGTTATTTTTGGACATAATCCAGAGTTAACATACATCCAAGAAACTGCAAGATGCATGAAAATCCATAGGGTGGGATAAAATATATTCATGCGCTCATCTTATACTAACACCTGCATGTGCGTGTTTGAGAAACCCAGCAGAGTTGTGTGTGTGTGTGTACATTATATCACTAAATGTCCAGGTCTCTTACATGTTTTCAGAGTTCTTCTTCCTATATTGTATGTCTTTCGTATCTGTACCAGTTTTAAAACTCAATTTTTTATTGGTTTAATACTTGCACAGTTGTCCAGTATGCATGTTCTCTTCTTGTTTATGAATAGTGTGTTATGTGTTTACAGTGATTTTTGCCAAGTGTGCCAAAGATGCAGTACAGAAAGTGGACAGATGGATGAACTGCTATTAGTGAACAGAAAGTTGCGGCACATAACTTCACTTAAATGCACAAATTTTCACTTCAGCGTTTCTGTTTGCGTATATGTTTGTAAATTCTTAGCTTTAGGCTAAGAAGTAGGGATACGTTTGAACTTTACATAGAATGGGCTGTTTTGTCTGTTTGCCAGTCATCATGCTAAGCTAGGCTAACCACATCCTGGCTTCAGTCCTCTACTGAACACATAAACATCACATTATCCATCTCAACATTTTACTCTCACAAAGTGTCCCTTTCAGCCTAGATTAAAGCTTCACCCACTGATTGACAAACTTGGAATTGAGTCCTCTCATCTCCCACAATACTCAGAGCAAAATAAAGACCCCCAGTGCTTGCCTATTCTCGTCATTCCTCTTTCTTTCACTGTGGTGAAACACTCACTTCCTCTGCACAGAGCATGCCGTTTACATCCCATTTTAGAGAATTTCACGAGATCTGGTCGAGCAATTTTGGGGAAACCCAACCAAAGGGGTCGTTGTGGAGCTCGCCATAGAATCTGCCTCCCAGATGTTTGGATTGTCCTCGTTACTCTCTTATAAATCTGGTTTACCACAACGGCCGTTCTTTAGTCAGACTGACAGGAGGACGGTGAGAAAGCTTCCCGTAAACTGGGCCCAAAAAAAGATAAAAAGACTGACACAAACATGGGACCACCTTTTGTGGTTCTGTCATTTTCCTGCTCAGTGGTCCGTATTTTGTTCCAGATGATGTCAGAACAGACTGCAGGCAACTCCTTTGCAATTCAGTCCAAAACAAATACGCAGTAAATATGATCTGCCAAAGTAGAAGGGGAAGCATGATAGATGGCGGACGAAATTATGAGGTGCTTTTAGATTACCTCAGTGTCCTCTTTCAGCATGTCCAGTTACAGCTGAATGAGATTTAAAACTTATCCATTTACACCTGGAGGTTGGTGAGTTTTCCAATGTCTGGGTTCAATATGCTTAAGCCTCAGTGTCATCTTCTGATGTTCTTCAAATGTCTTGTTTCGTTTCATCTCGAGACAAAACTCTTTTAGGTCAAATATAAGTCTTCGATTTTAGCCTGTAAGAGAAGGAACTCGCTTATCTTCGAGTGAGAAATAGAAAGGTGAGGGGGTTCATGTTTTGTGCCAGAACACCTTGAGCAGCAGCAGGCGGCCAGTGCAATGCTGGTTGTAAATCTTTGAAAGACAGATAGATATTTTATTCATCCCTTTGGGGAAATTCAAGGTATCCAGCACTCACAAATGTTACATTCTATATAGAACAACAAATTGTTGGTAATTACAATAAGGTGTCGAATTGCTACAGTAAAGTAGAGTATTAGAAAAGTACAACCAGGTATAATGTGGAAGTAGAATTACTGATAAACATATAGGAGGGATGTGGTTCATGGGTCCTGGTGGACGAAGGTTATTGGTTTTATTGCACAGTTGAGTTGAGTCACTGGAGTGTAGCAGCCACTAGTCCAGGTCATGAGCCACTGCCCTTGACCAAGGTGTTGTGGTGGGGACAGAGGATCTTCTGTAGCATGAAATCATGAAAAGAAGTAAACGTAACATTTTCCACATTAGTTTTTGGTGATCGCTGCTGTAACCAACAAATTACGCATCCAATTTCCACAACAGGGGCTGCAAGGTGGCTCGGTGGTTAGCTAGAAGATCAACGGTTCGCGTTCCGGTTTGGACACCCAGGATCTTTCTGCGTGTCTGAGTTTGATGTACTCCCCATGAAGCATGGGTTCTCTCCAGGTTCTCCAGCTTCCACCCACAAAGTCCAAAAACATGTTGAGGTTAACTGGTGATTCTAAATTGCCCGTAGGTGTGAATGTGAGTGTGCTTGGTTGTCTGTCTCTAAGTGTAGCCCTGTGATAGACTGGTGACCTGTCCAGGGTGTCCCCTGCCTTCACCCTAAGTCAGCTGGGATAGACTCCAGCCCCCCATGACCCTCGTGAGGATTAAGGAGTGTATAGATGATGGATGGATTTATACAACAGCACCACAGTCGTTCATTTCCACCTCAGTCGGTCTCTGTTTAACTGAGTTGATCATTTCTTACACTGGTGAAGCAACGGAATCATTGGTGCCTACACTGGCAATAGAGCATCTCTTCATTTGATACGGATAAAACAGTGTGTGCATGATATACACACCCAGGGCTGCTCCATGCTGAGGACTCTGTGAGGAGATCCCAGGGAGAAGATTGACAGACTTCAGGTTACACAAAGGATAGAAAAAGCAAAGACGTGGATCAGACCACAGTGAGAGCCACAGCAAGCATGAGAGCATGACACGGGCGAACCGTGGGGAGCGACGGCTATACTTAATGACCTGAAGCTGTGAAGGTGTCTCACTGCAGAGCCGGCCTCCCCGCCTGTATCCTCCTCCTCCTCCTCCTCCTTCTCCTCCTCTCCTGCAGTTCACTTCTCTCCATCTGTTATGATAAAGCTCAACACAACTGTGCTCCCAGTCCGTCACTCTATCCTCCCTCTGCGTGGAAACCGCAGCAGCCTCAGGATACAGCCCAACACCCCCGAACCAGGGTTCAGCTTAGCACCGCGTCTGGGTGGTTTTGCAGCGTTTTACCTGACGGGATCAAAGTGGGCATTTTGATTTAGGAACGATTTCTTTTTCTTCAGCGTTGACTGGAATCATTTTCACACCCAGGTGTTTGACTTAGCAGGACCCTTTGGGCTCTTTTTCCGCTGTTCCAGCTCCATTGAGGAACTTAACGTGGAGACTGAGGTGCTTTATTTTTCTTTGATTTATCGGTTAAATCCTGAGGAGGCAAGCAGGATGGACTTCACTTACCTCTGGCTCCTCGCCACCACTCTGATGTTGATCCACCAGAATCAAGGTAAATCTGTCTTTAATATTATTATTTTTTAATATTAAATAAGTAGACTTCCTGACGGGTGAAGTGCTGCCTGCTGGTAGAAACGGAGGCTGGGTATCAGTTGCAGCTGTTTGATGAGAAAAATTCTTTAAACATGCACTTCCTCTGAAATGTATACATTGATACCTTAAAAATAAACCCACACTACTCAGAAATATTGGGTGACTTGAAAATTCTGCGCTCCTACTGAATTCCATGAGAATGTGACTAAACACACTGTATTGGAGGAGGAAAACTCTCTCTCTGCATTTGTAGTTTAAAGTATTAAAATTTTCAGTACACTTTGGAGACTTGGCTCCAACATTGATCCCGTTTAAGTCAACATGAAGGGTTTATAGACAGATCATGAAAGTGTAGCTGGAAAACTGACTGAAGGCAAGAATGTAAAACGAGTCACATTTTTTAACTTAATACATCAATAAACAACAACAAAAAAAGGTTCGATGATTACGCTCATCAGTGTTAAACTACATATAAAAGTGCATTTTCCAGCTCCTTGGTTTTTCTTTTCATTTTTTAACCACTTTTCTGTTCCCTATTTTTGCATTTTCCATTTTCCTCAACAAACTTTCAGCGTTCCACTTGTTTACATGGTAATGAGATGGGTGTGTCTGCTCGTTTCCAGGGAAAACACTGGCCCTGGGTCACAGTGTGTACCTTACCACATTTTAATTAGTTAACCAAACACATTCCCGTTGATGTTACGTTTTCCAACAACATTTTACAGCTTTTTGTCAGTTTTGTGGTTCTGCATACGAATTACAACTTTGTGTCACTTAAAGAAATCTCCATCAAGCAACCAATGCAACCGTAACTACCCTAAAGACGGTTTAGTTATATATTCAGGAATGTAGTTTTGTACATCACAGGGAGTTTAAGGTCTTATCGCATAATGAGAACCTGGAATGCATTTACTTGATCTCGCTGCCGGAGGTTTTACCTGCGGAGTCTTGGCTGGACCTATGTGAACGTACAAGATAACAAAAAGGCATTTGTGGATCACAGGAGCGTCTCTGGAGATTCCCCAACCTTCTCAGATCAAATCTTTAAAGGAGGACTTACTTATTGACAGAATGAGTGGCAAAGTACTGTGTTGTTGTTGTTGTTGTTGTTGTTGTTGTAGCTCTTCAGTTCGGGTTCATGTGAGATGAAATTATTCTTCCATCTCCGTTCACACGTTCGCGTGTCAGGTAAGATCGCAAATTAGTCTGGAGAGGTGAGCCTGAGCCAGGCAAAGATCCAGCAATAAACATGTACAAATGTGGCCTCTGGCTTGATGAAGATGCTGTACGTGCTAAACACCATGTGGTAAAACCTCTTTTATTTGAAACAAATCCTTTTCAGCTAATGAACGCGTTATGTAACTCAGTGGTTGTATTGAAAACGGGCCTAATCTCAGCTTTAGACGTCTTTGGCTGCCACTCAGTGGTTTAGGTGTTCCTCAGACTGCTGCCACAGGCGATCTGCAGAAAGCTCCTTCAAGAACCTGTAATGTGTTCCTGAACCTGGACGGTTCAGTGAAGATATTATAAGGGGGGGAAAAAAAACAGACCACTTAAAGAATCCTGAATGGCAATCGTTGGGACACACGTTGCAGCAATCGTTTGCTTTTTAACAGCCAAACCAAGAAACATTCAGTTTATTGTGTTGTTAAACTGATTCAACTGCAGTGTCATGGAACTGTGTGCATGCATAGTAAAAGTAAAAGCTGTCTACAAAAGCGTTTTCAACGATGAAAAACAGAGAAAAAGTCCATTAACTTTTAAACAGTTTTTATCAGATTGGACTGGTGATTCTATACATGCCGTTTTTATGTCCCGGTAACCGCTGAAGCTGCAGTTATGGCTCTCTCTCCATTAATTTAGATAGGGATGTGGTCTCGTTAGCCCTAAATAACTGCATTGGGGAATTACCAAGATGGCTGCAGGGTGGCGAGACTTGCCTACGAGGACTTTTGGAAAGTTTTAGGAAGGAGAAAAGACATCTGTATGAGTATAAAAAGCTTCCCGATGGCACAAGCAGCATAAGCATTCCCTGCCTCTAAGTTTGCATGTTCATTAAAGAGGGAAACTTGGAAGATATTAAAAAATAAGAATTATCCTAATATAGATATTCCAGCATGTATCCAGCTCTGTAACTCCTGTTTTTTTTTTTTCTCATTAAGGAGAGAAGAAAAGTCCAAGATTTAAGTTTGCTGTTTGGTAAATGAATTAAAGAGCCCATATTGTGCACATTCACAGGTTTAAAAAAGTGTTTCTGGGGGTCTACTGGAATGTGTTTACATGTTTTAATGTTCAAAACATGTTTGTTTTTATCATACTGTACACCTTATTTTATCTCTTTTCTTTTTAAGGCCCCCCTCTGCATTTCATTTTAGTTACATTTCCACAAATTCAAAACACACAGAACGAGAGGCACCAGGACTGACTGTTCACTCTAAAACCCAGCCAGCCCGGACTGAAAGGTTGCTGGTTACTTTTATAGCCAGGTGTAGTGATTGCTGGGGTGGAGGAAATTGGCGGTGGTCCAATGAGAGGCGAGGAGAACAAGGACCGGAGTGCAGGTCTTCAGCTCCAGGTTAATTAGCCGAGATGACTGGCAGCTGGTGTCCTGGAGCGAGTTCTCAACCAGCCACAGCTGGGCCTGCACAGGTCATCTCCACATAACAAGTCCACATGACAAAACGGCACAAACACCTCGGGCCGTAACAAACATGTAGCACGACGGTACAGAAATGAAATGATGACTCCAAAAACTTGATTCACTGATAGGAGCCTTTTGAAGACCCTATACATGGGTTTTAAGGAGGCCCTCATGATCTATCAGCTGATCAAGTGCTTTAGGGCTGCATACTCCTAATCAGAAGACTGAGAGCTTTGGGGGCCCCTGTTGTGGTGAACCCCCAGGGCACTTACCCATGTTGCCTTGTTGTTAATCCATGATTATAGCTAAAATAACTATGATCCCTCAACAGCCTCCCACCCATTTGTATTGTCAGTGTTCTACTTTTGAGTGCTGTGGGTTTTTCCACCTGGTGCTCCAGTCTGTATACGTGCATGTGTAGTTCAGAAAACGGTACAAACTATGAGGAACTAGTTCCTTTTAAAGTTTTTTGACCTTGTGTTAACAAATGTGGTGAAATGACTTTAACATGGACCAACAGTTAAATAAGTCGCCACCTCAGGATGAAGTACAATAACTTTAACGACCCTCTGATTGTCCTTTTAGTATTTCAATTTGTACAAATTCTGCCAGTCTGGCTATTTCCTGGGCCCCAGTTATACTTTGCCCTTCATGCTAATAAGTGAAACACTAAATGAATACACATTTCACTTCACATGTTCAGCACATTTCAGAACAGGCCAGTATTTCCTCCTATTAGGTGCTTTGTTTTACAGGATTGCAGCTGGGCTCATTTACATCTGCAGTCCCACAAAACACCAAAAAACCCAACATCTTAAAACTACACTCATTTTTCAGGTCTGATTTCACTGCAGACATAATAAACCTCATCTCTTGATACATCTTGAACATTGAAGGAACAGTTCCTGGTGGGTTCATGTGAGAATCAACCGCTTGTGTCCGCAGCTTTTTATTTGCACACCTTTGGACAGAAATGTAGAACTGATCAGTAAAAAAAAAAAACCTGAAGCTGTACACGGCTGACAATCCTATTGACCAAACAAAAGCTTGTTGTCAGACAAAAAGTAAAGGTTTGTCATAGTTTAAGACAGACTAGCATGTGGCTTAAGGAGTGTTGCTACTTAAGTTGACCTCGTCATTATGAAATAAGGCTTGTGGTTTACAGAGTCATGACCAACCCTAAAGTTCCTCATTTTCATTTACTGTCACAGGGTAACACTTACCACGGAGGTAAAATGCTGCTTTTCTTCATGGAATATTGAGCGTGATGAATCGCGCTCGGCACATGTCGCCTCCAACCACTTAGACACTTATTTTGTTTTTAGTTTTTTTGCGTAGAGTCTTCCTTCGCGTCAGAGGAGCGCCCCTCTGTCAACAAGCTCTCCTACTCTCCTGGCTGTGATTTATTTATTTTTTCTTCCATGCTGTCCATACATTTCCTTTTCTATTCCTTCCCTCTGGCAACACTTTTGCCATTTTTCTTCCTCCACTATCTCCAGCTGTCCTCTGGGCTTAATCTGTGCTGCATGTTTGGTGTTTCTGTGTCACAGCCAGACATCTGAGGTTTATTAGGGATTGCTGCACAAACCAGCACTTTGAAATCACAAGACAACACCAGGGTATCATTTCTCCCAGCACCTACGATGAAATAAAACCCAGTGGTCCGTATAACTACAGGAATAGTCTGAGCTACTTAAAATGGAAATATATCCTCTAACAAAATCTGTTTGTGCTGCTACAATCCCGTCTGACAGTATTAATACTTAGACATGCCCACTGGGTGGCTGCATTGGAAATGTCTAAAAATCCCTTATGAATGAATGTATTAAACAATGGATGAAGAACCCAGACCCATTCATTCCAATGCTCACTGGTACACTGGCTCAGAGAGCTTTCACCACAGTACCTTAATGAGCTGTAGTATTTCCTCTGCCTGAACCTGGTGGACCATTTACAACACTTCTAACCACAAAATGATACAACTATAAGACTTTTGGTGGAGTTTAAACACCAGTGAGATGTCTAAATACCTCTTGCAATGGTGCAACCGTAAGTAGGTGCGGCAGCAAGTAGGAGATGCCTGGTCTGTGATGGAGTGTGGAGATGGTGTATTTTTTTCAACCAGACTAAACATGAGCTGAAATGTAAGGCATGGGGTGAACATTTTGGCTGCTCTGTTGTATACTGAGCAGGCTTTACTTTCAAGGTAGTGACATATAATTTATCACAAGTTATTTGGTGGGATAAAGAAGCATGTACAGTGGGGCCAGTCCCCGTTGGATACCGTAGCTGTTTTTGTGCTAAATTTTGCAGCCTTG